TAAACAAATTTGAAGACTTAATGGAGAAAGAAGAGACCTTCAAAATAGACTTAAATAATTCTGGGTTTCATGGTTTAACTCAAAGGACACCAAATCAGTCCACTTACAGCTTGAGCAATGTCAGCTGAATCTCGGGGAAGGATAAGTGGTGACATATTTTCCCTGTTAACTACTCAGTAAGATGTGTATAATCTCCCCCCCCCCACACACACACACTTAATATAGCGCTAGATTCCTAGGGAAAGCCAAGCAGCTAAATTTTATTTAGCTGGGATGGTGCCTTATTGTTCAAGATTAGCATGTTATATGTTCAGAGGCTCCCCTTTCTGTGTGCTGTGATTGTGTTTCCTGTTCTCCTGTGTACTGGCATCCCACATAAGCCATTCTTCAGCTGTTAAATGCTTGTCTAACAGCTAACCTAGATTTGATCTTCCAGTTTGGAGATTTAGATAGACCATTTAATCTGTTTCTTATATTTTTATCTGTACCAACTGTTTCCTCTGACAAGCATTCAGCACTCGGGAAATGCCCTCAGAACAGATTTAGCTGACCTACTATCTGTGTATCATCCGGAGTTAGTTTTTGTTACTGGACTGAAATGTAAAGCCTCACTGATTCTCTGTTCGGTCTGCAGGCCTTTGCCTGCATGTTACTTTGAGCAAATACTAATTGTGTGGGTCAGGCTGTAGATTCATTCTGGGAGCAGGAGTTGAGTGTGGATACCGGCTAATTTAGCAATTCACATACTTCTGCAGCTTACAGAATCTAATCGGAATGGTAAGATTGGTAGTTTCATTAATAGTGTCTAAGAAAAGACTGTAATTAATTTTTATTAGTCACTTTATCATCTCGCCCTTTGAGAAATTTGTTTGAGGCCTCTGAGAAAGAACTTTGTCATGGGCAAGGGTTGCGAGAGAGCTATAAAAACATGGAAAAGTACAAATTCCATTAGTTTTACACGGAAAAGTACAATTAGTTGTAAGACCTGATTATGAAGCTTCTAGTTACTCTAAAGAAGTGATTTTACTTCTGGAGAATGAAATGCAGAGGCAGTTTGTCATTGTTTTTCCCCATTCTCCTGCGAATGCATATTTAGAAAGACATGTAATTCACATTTTTATTCTCACACTGGAGGCCCAGCGCGCAATTGAAATCTGGTGAGGAGACTCCCTGCCTCCCACCATGCGAGGGGGCAGCCTGCTGGGGGGCCGGGACTCACGCCTGACCTGGGCAGCGCTGGCCGCCGTGTTGTGTCCACTGGGGTGGAGACAGGCACTCCTGTGTGTTGTGTCTCCACTCTGACCTGCCTCCAGCTCCAGCCTTCCCGCTGCCCCCGGGGCTGCAGGTGGCATGCAGTCCCCTCCCACCCATCTGCACTCGCAGCTCCTCCTGAGCAGTTGTGATGCCCAGCTAATTAGCATATTTCCTGTTCATATACATATATATGTATATATTTTAGAAAACATTTTTTGCCCAACATTCTTTTTTAAAAAAAATATATTTTATTGATTTTTCACAGACAGGAAAGGAGAGAGATAGAGCGTTAGGAGCATCAATGAGAAACATCTGTCAGCAGCCTCCTGCACAACCCCTACTGGGATGTGCCTGAAACCAAGATACATATCCTTGATTGGAATCGAATCTGTGCCCAACATTCTTGTAGGCATTTATTAAAATGTTGTTCCCCACACACACATCCCAGGACCTAAGAAGCTATAATGAATTAGGATTCCTACCCATTATTCATCTATTTTGCTTATTTATTTGTCAATTCAGAAAACATTTAAAAAATATTGACATGTGTAAAACAGCTAATTCTGTTAGAGTACATTGATTAATTCGTGTGCTCTGCAGTCAGATTGCCCGGATTTGAACTGCAGTTGAGCTCTGTGGTGGTTGTGTGGACATGGACAAGTTTTCATCTCTGTTTCAGTCTTGTCTCTAAGTGGGGTGTATTAAATTCCTGTTACCACTTGACCACAAACTTAGTGACTTAAAACAGCAAGCAGACATTTATTATCCCACTAGTGTGAAGGCTCAGCTAGTTTCTCTGTTCCAGGTCTCACAAGACTAAAACCAAGGTGTATGTCAGCCTGAGTTCTTATCCGACAGGCTCATTCAGGTCGTGAGCAGTCTTCAGTGCCATGTAGTTGTATGACTGAGATCCCTGTGTCCTTGCTGGCTTCTCCTTAGTTTCTTGGGGTTGTCCACAGCCTTGGGCTTATGCACTCTCTTTATCTCCCCAGTCAACAACAGCTCATTGTTCTGTTAATCGATTAGCAAGTTTTCATAAGTCCTTTGGTAAGACTTAATGAGGAAATAAAAGGCTACTTCAATAAATCTGGCGCCATGAGGCTAAGTATTTTGCTGCTTTTCATGACTGACTTTCTCATGGCTTTGAGATATATAATGGTATAGATTAACATTAAGTTTTGTTTTGTTTTTCTCCTTCAGGCTAAAATTGTAAGTACAGAGTGACTTCATGGCCAGTGAAAAGTCAAAGCACGTGACAAGCCCTAGGATAAATGTCCAGATTAGAGTTAGATGTTGTCATGTGATGTGGGTCCAGCATTACTGATTATGCTTATAATCTCTTTTAACAAGAGCAAATACTTGTCACAGGGTTGACTGGTTGCTGCTTACTCTGGAACAGAAGTTCTTATGGTACAGTCCTCTTTATGTGCTGACTAATTTTCTCTGTGTATTGTGTATGTGCTGCTAGTTGGATGTTTGTGTCTTTGCTTGAGAAATGGGTCAAATTTAACCAAGAATGAATGAAATCTTTCAAGAAAACTTGAATAATTTGAAGTGGCACTTTTCCCTAAAAGAGGTAGTTAGTGCTTGTCCTAGGTAAAGGTTGATGTTAAGAAAAATGATGGCTATTTCGATTATTAACCATTATTCCATCTGCAAAATTTTCTTAAACTTTCCAGACCCATGAATTAAAACATTGTAATTTTTATTCCAATTCCAAATACACAATAACAATGGAAGCAGGAAAATGATGAACAAGGAAGTCAGGATGGTGTAAACCACAGTTTTAAACAGAGAAAACACACCTATGAAAACATTGAGACTCACTTTGGACTCATCACTGTAAAAAAAAAAAAAAAAAAAAAAGGCAGAATAGAACTATATTTTCTCTTCATAGTTATTTATCGCTCTAATATACAGGTATGAGAAATGGTTAGTCCTTAATTAGTTTTTAATCACCTCTAAACTTAATTATTTCCCTTTCTTGCTGCTAGTCAAGTAAATCTTGACTGCAAGTCAAGATCTTTGTGCAGTGGGAAAGAATGTCATGAAAGGAATCAAAGTATTTAAATATGATTATCAAATTATTTAAATATGATTTTATTTTTTAAATTAAATTAAGCTAATATGAAAAGTCTCTAATATCAATAAAACTATTTCACCCTAAAAATTAGTTTATTGGACCATAATGTTAGTGGTCAGTAAGAAATAATAATTCTGTTTATAAATAGAATGTTCTCCAAAACAGTTCTAACAAAGATGGAAATCTACACATTCCTGGCATTGCTGTTCAGTAGCATCACTTATTCTCACATTCATAAAGATGAAATGGGCTCCTATGAAAGGCATTTCATTTCAACCTCAGTGCGGTCATAAAACCACACCTCAAGAGAGGTGGAATAAAAGGAGTTATTAATACTTATAGCATTTAGTATGCATCAGTCACTTTAAAGTACTTTACAAGTATCATTTCAGTTAATCCCCATCACAACCCTATAAGATGGTTAATATTACCATTTGCAAATAAGAAAACAGAATCTAGTAAACTCTAAGTCACACAGGCACAGCAGTCCAGTCTCCCCATTTTCCAGGAGGATACATTCAACCCTCCCACCTCCCCAGTGGATTCCTGAAACCTGCAGATAGTACCAAACCCTATACAACTATGCTTTTTCCTATACATGCATACCTATGGTAAATTTATAAATAAGGCACAGTAAGATATTATTAACAAAAATAATAACAAATAATAAAATAGGCCAATCACAATGCTATACTGTAATGAAAGTTTTGTGAATTTGGCCTCTCTCTCTCTCTTTCTCCAGTAATTTTTGTATTTTTCAGTCCAGAATTATTTCTGTGTAATGTTTCCTTTCTGTCAGTGAATGGCTTATTGTTACTCATTACAGTGGGTGGGCCCCCCGCTAAAGTCTGTAGGCTCAATGCTTTCTGGTGCAGCACTGTTGTTGTTGTCCGCTGGGACATGTTTTCTGTTCATGTCTTCTACCCTGAAGACATTTAATGCTTTCCCATCTTAGCTAAGCACTTAATGTACGGTGGCCATCACGTTTGGAGTCTGAGGTGCAAGGGCATACTAGCATGAATTCCTTTTCACTTCTTCACAATTTCAGGAATACAAGATTTGTTCTTACTCTACCAGTAGATCTTAGCAACCTCAGCGTACAATTTTTCTTCTTAAGTCAAGAGTTTGCATCTTTTCACTTAAAGGAACCCATTTCATGCAGTGAATAAAAATCTTGGTTTTCAGCATTCTTGAATAAGTTAGGAATTCTTTAACATTACAAAAAGTTAAATGCTTAAGGAGTATAGGAAAAGCAAATGTGAGTGCCCTTTTTTATTTTGTTTTGCTAGTCTTCACCCAAGGATTCCATTGATTGTAGGGAGAGTGGAAGAGAGTAGGAAAGACAGAGAGAAACACATGTGAGAGAAACACATGGTGATTGGTTGCCTCCTGCAAGACACCTTACCAGGGCCCTGGCTGGGGAGGAACCTGCAGCCAAGATACATGCCCTTGATCAGAATTGAATCCGGGACTTTGGTCCACAGGCCAACACTCTATCCACTGAGCCAAACCGGCTAAGGCCAACAGTGCCCTTTTGGAGGGCCTATCTCAGTCTTTAGGAATTTTTTTTTTTTTAAATAAAGTGTTAGAATTTAAATACCTGTTGTTTTTGTTATCGTCACTGTGAAATATGCCTGAGTACACTTTTTATTTTTATTTTCAGATGACAGAGATGATGCTCAGGAGAATAGCTTAAGAGCCTTAATAAAAGAGCTGCCAGACACGCACTACTGCCTCCTCAAGTACCTCTGCCAGTTCTTGACAAAGGTAGCCCAGCACCATGTGCAGAATCGCATGAACATCCACAATCTCGCCACTGTGTTTGGGCCCAATTGCTTTCAGTAAGTTAGTGGAGTTTTGCTTTAAATATTATCACATATCCCTTTTCTTTTAGCCTTGCCTGAAATGACTGGAATGTGCACGCATATGATTTCAAACCAGAAAGTCAACCAACTTCTGTTGGAGAAGTTCCATCTTGCTATTGGGCATTTTAGCCTCATTGTTTGTACCAATTTTTAAGGAAGCAGATAATACCCTCTATGAAACGATTATTTGTAGTACTTCAACCAGCCTTATTTAAAATTCTGTAAATAAGCTTTACTTTCACTAAAAAAAGGTCATTTAAAAAAAAATCTAATCTGAAACACTGATTAGCAGAAAGGGAAGGAAAACGATGTAGTGCATAATTTCTTGAATAGTGATAAAGTTCAAAATGTTGCTAATGGATGGAAAATTACAAGCAGAATATGGCCGAGACAGAAAAATGTAACCTCAGCTACATGTATTTATTTTCTCAGAATAAGCTAGCCTAGAAATAAACTAGTTTCTGTGGTGGGTGCTACATCACTAGCCAGGAGACGTTTTGTAAAGCTTTATATTTTATTTTCCCTCTTATTCCTTAAATCTCTTTAAAGTATGAAACATGATTTTACAATCCAGGGACTTGCTTTTCACTCGCCTATTAATCCCTGCTTAAATATGATATAAAACACATTCCTTCTAGTTATAAGGAGAGAGAAAGAGAGAGGTCACTTCTCACACTTTAAAAGCTCTCAGAAATTCTCAGAAAGTTTTTGTTATTTTCTTAATAGTGTATCTGCTTATCTACTCCATTAGTCTGTAGAACCATTCAGCTGCCCAGAACTAGTAATTTTACATCGGGAGAACCACTGTCTAAATATAAACTCTGGCTCAGGTCATAGTGGCTGCAGGCTTCAGGACCTATGCAGCCTACCAGGGGGGAGAGTTCTGCCTTAATAATGATCCCCTTTGTAACCTTAGACATTTAAATTTTAAATAACAGCATTTCATAGGATATGTTAGAGTCTCGCACATAAATGTCTCAAACACAGGCTCCAGTAATTCTTATCTTATTCAGGAGCTCTATGGTAGTAAAAAAAAAAAAAAAAAAAAAAGTGTATTTCTTTTTACGTTTATCTGCAGAGTAAAATTTGGTGACTTCCATCAAAGAAATAAAGGTAAGTAGAAAATATTACTCAGCAATTTTTGAAACCCTAGGTTCTAGAAGAGGTGAAAGCAAATTGTAAATAAAATAGAATGCTTATTTAATAACACACAGATGCACATATCATTACTGGTTTACTGAATTGGGCTTGATCTGCAATTTCTGATAATCTGCTTCAGTTAGTCAAAATATCAAATAAGTGATGAGTTTTTGTTGTAGAGTCTACTAATGATTATAGCTTAATTCCCCCCCCCCCCCCCCCTAGCCAGTTTGGCTCAGTGTATATAGCCTGTGGACTTAAGGGTCCCAGGTTCAATTCCAGCCAAGGGCACATGCCTGGGTTGTGGGCTCGATCCCCAGTAGAGGGCGTGCAGGAGGCAGCCAATCAGTGATTCTCTCTCATCATTGATGTTTCTCTATCCTTCTCCCTTCTTCTGTGAAATCAATAAAATGTATTTAAAAAAAAAAAACTTTTTCCCCCCCTTGTGATAAAATGTACACAACAGGTTAGAATATCAGCTCAAGCATCATTGGATAGATTCCCAGTCAAAGGCACATCCCTGGGTTTCAGTTTTGATCCCCATTCCTTGTCAGGATGCAACTAGGAGGCAACCAATCGATGTGCCTCTTTCACATTATAGTTTCTCTTCCCGCTTCCACTCTCTCTAAAATTCAGTGGGAAAAATATCCTCGGATGAGGATTAAAACACACACACATACATATACTGTATAACAAAATTTACCATTTTAACCATTTTTAAATATACATTAAGTATATTCTTATTGCTCTGATCTATTAATTGATATGTATTTCTAAGCTTACGGATGTAGATGTCACTACCAGGTCCTTTTCTCATTGAAATAGGCTATAATAATTATAACAGATAGTGTTTGTTGAGCACTTAGAAAGTACTCTACTATCTCATTTATCTAATTGATCCTAAAGAGGTAGAAGTGGTTATTTTTTTTTTCTTGAAGTTCCTCTAACTACATTAAGGAAAAGTACACACTTCAACTCTAGTGACCACAGTTAGTCTGTATACAGTATGTTATAAAGATGGTCAGTGGAAAAGTGCTGTTCAAGGACAAGTCTCACCATGAATCACTAACAGACAAATGAAGGCAATACTTTTCTTAATAACTAATGTGAATACATTGTCTAGTCAATAGATGAGGAAGATTTATTTCTAATAGATATGGGAACATCCTCATAAAATAATTTGTAAAAGAATATAGCATTTTAGATACAAAATAATGTCTATGAAATATATGACCATATAAATGAAAGGAAATACACAAGCAATATATGATTGTTTGGTGTTCTGGATTCCAGGCTTCTAGGTGACTCTTCTTCTTTTAAAAATATTTATTTGATTTATTTTTAAAATTTTTATTGATTTATAAGAGAGAGTGAGTGATAGAAATATCAATGATGAGAGAGAATCATTGATTGGTTACCTTCTGCACCCCCTCCCCAATTGGGGACCGAGACAGCAACCTGGGCATGTGCCCTGACTGGGAATTGAACCATGACTTCCTGGATCATAGATTGAGGCTCAACCACTAAAACACACTGGCTGGGCTATAGGTGTCTCTTAATTATGAGGGTTTCAACATGTATATCCAGTTACAGGTTTATTAAATTTATATGATTGGGTAATATCAGTTTAAAATAATCAAACAATAGAAAGTTATGTAGAATAAAAATAAAATATCCTCCATCAGACCCCTCCCATTCCAACCTCCTCCCTAGAAATAAGATCAGTAACCATTATAGATATATATCCTTCCATCCTTCTTTCTGAACACAGCGATAATCTATTTTTAAATATAAATTAGATCCTGGTGCATAGGTTGTGAAGCTTGATTGTTTCTATGGTAGAACTTGAACTTTTAATATCAATATAATTTATACTTCATTCTTTTTAAAATATTAAATAGTGTGAAATTTGCTCTAGTTTATTTAACTATTGATGAGCACTGAGGTTATTGTCATTGAAAAAAAATAAATAGGTACTCTATATAGTGCCAGGTGAGTACTGGAAATACAGGGAGAACACTTTATAAAGTATATGATTGTCTAACCACTATGCTGTACGCCTGAAACCAATACAAAATAATATAAAAAATAAACTATAATTGAAAAACAAAACAATTTAACCATCAATTAAAAAATGGAGAAAAACAAACCAGTTGCAGTGAACCTCTGAGTGTGACTCTATGTACACATGCAGCTATTTCTTTAGAATAGTGGTTTTCAATCTATTGCTGCAACCCTTTAATATAGTTCCTCATGTTGTGGTGACCCCTGACTATAAAATTATTTTCGTTGCTACTTCATAGCTGTAATTTTGCTGCTGTTAATGAATCGTAATGTAAATATCTTTGTTTTCCTATTGCCTTAGGCTCTACAGCAGCGGTTCTCGACCTGTGGGTTGCGACATGGTAAGACTATAAAAGACAGCAACCTGCTGCTGCAGAGCCTAAGACCATTGGCATTAGAAAGGTTGAGAACCCCTGATTTAGAATGATGTCCTAGAGGTGGACGTGCACCATGGAGGAATTTACACTTTTTATATATATTATGGCAATAGTATAATGATGTTTTTATAGTATAAAATAATAATATAATGATGTTTTATAGTATAAAATAATAATATAATGATGTTTTTGTATAATAGTATATACTGTGGCATAGTAATAAGTATTTTCCTACGAAAAATTCATCAAACTTTAGACTGTAAACTATATGTTTTCTATATCATTTTATTCTAAAGAATTTTGTAATATCTCAGTTTCTGTTTTTGTATATATGTATGTGTTTTTGTTTTGTTTTGTTGTTGTTAATCCTCGAGGATATTTTCCTCATTGATTTTTAGGGACCGTGGGAGAGGAAAACACAGAGAGAAACATCGATATGAGAGAAACACATTGATTGGTTGCCTCCTTCACGAGATCTAACCAAGGTCAGGGCCAGGGCCAGGGAGGAGCCTGTAACCAATTTCCTCAACTTAGTACTTGTAACAGAAGCATATGTATGACTTCCTAAAATTGCCCTGGAATCACCTACCTCTCAGGAACTGAACTTCCACCTGCCTTGGGAATGCTGGCTCCTTCTCCTTGGCTGCTGCCTTGCAGCTGAGTCAACCAGCCACCTGACCAGAGTTTCTGGCTTCCCCAGTGACTTGGATGCCATACTAGGATCTCAATTCCTGACAGGCTGCCAGAGGGGCTAGATATGCAACCTGGATGGGAGAACAGTTAAATCCCTCTGGTGAAGGGAAACAGGAGTCAGGGGAACGTAGGGAACATAGGCGTATCTCTTCTCTCTCCACCCGTGCCATCCATCTGCTCAGTTCCAGGCTGCCAAACCAGACATCTGTCAAGCAGACTGCTGTGTGTCATTGGGTTCTTTTGTGAAATCACTGTTCTGCATCCTACCTGCTTCCTTTCCTCACCCATGCTGCTCAGTATTCCTCCTCCCACAATAATACCGAGCACTCCCGCCTCTGGAGTTCCTCAGTCCCCTCAGCTCCCCAGTCGCCCAGGGCCAGCCCAAGGTGCAGGCAAGTCTCGGAAGGCAGCTGCCCAGCCACCCAGGGCCACCTGAGGCTCAGGTAACCAGGGCTGGCCGAGGCTTGTGCTGCTGGCAGTGGCAACAGCAGAGGTATGATGGGGTGTTGCCTTCCCCTGATCACCAGGTCACCTCCCAACCCTGAGGGCTCTCAGACTGTGAGAGGGGGCAGGCTGGGCTGAGAGACCCCTCCCTCATGAATGAATGCATGAATTTTCATTCACTGGGCCTCTAGTATATTTATAATCTGTTAACAAATTTATTCATAAAATACAGGTTGTTCATTTAATTTTTAACACAAT